TTTTTTTTTTTTAGTCAAAGTCTTACTCTGTCACCCAGGCTGGAGTGCAGTGGTATGCTCACAGCCACTGAAGCCTCAACCTGCTAGGCTCAGGCAATCCTTTCACCTCAGCCTTACAAGTAGCTGGAACCACTGGCATGCACCACCATACCTGGGCAGGGTAAGGAGGTGGCCCCAGGGACCTTGTGTTGAAAGATTGGTCTGAACCAGGGAGTTTTGGGCTAGATTTGACCGCTCTTAGATGCTGAGTTAAGGACTGTATTGACATTTGAAGAGAGAAATGAGTTGACTGATGGAGAAATGAATCAGGCAGACCAAAGATAGGGGTTCTGGCAGCATAGAACCTGGGGAAGTAGACTCTGGCAGGGTGAGAAGTGGATGAGCGTGGTAATGCAGAAGATGCCTGAGGGAGGATGGAAGGATATACCTGGTCAGAATCGCAGTTGACCTTCAAGGTTACCAGCCTGGGTAGTCTCAGATGCCGGAAACAGAGAAAAGTAAAAGTAAATGGCAGCACATCAAGGTTACAGATACCTTACAAATAGTCACTTGACTTAACCTATGACAGGAACATATTATGCTTCCTGGGTTAGTGTAATATTCGTAATTGAACTAATAAGAATAGATTTGCAACCCTGTCTTAGCCAGTCCAAAAACACACATATATCTGTACATCTAACCATTTTCCTTTTTTTTTAACCTCAGGTTGACCCCAAAGATTGGCTTCCCTTGGAGTGAAATCAGGAACATCTCTTTTAATGACAAAAAGTTTGTCATTAAACCCATCGACAAGAAGGCGCCTGTAAGTTCAGATGGACCTCCTCAGGGACCACTGTTTTTCATTCTTATAGTTAAATGAGTTTTCTTTTTTTTTTTTGAGTTGGAGCCTTACTCCATCGTCCAGGCTGGAGTGCAGTGGTATGCTCATGGCCACCCCAGTGTCGACCTGCTGGGCTCCAGAGATCCTTCTGCCTCAGCCTTCCAAGTAGCTGGAACTATAGGCGCTCACTACCTCGCCCAGCTAACTTTTTACTTATGGTAGAGGCGAGTTCTCGCCAAGTTGTGCAGGCTGGTCTCAAACCTATGTTCAGGCAATCCTCTTGCCTCGGCCTCCCACAGTGCTGGGATTACAGGCTGAGCCACTGAGCCTGGACCTAAATGAGTTTTCAAGGTAACACTCAGATTTTTCTATGTGACAGGTAGCCTGTGATACTCAGAATTCCCTATCTGTGGGGAAAAGAATTACTAGCAGTTGCTGTGTAACTGAACATTGTAGTTCTAGAGGAGACCAGGTGTCAGCAAAAGGTAGCTGAATCTGTAACCACCTGTTCTCATTCCTTCCCAAGAAAAGGGCAGTTGTAAGTCATAGGACTTTGCCAAATGATAAGCATTTCCCAATACATTGTGTTTTTGGTGAGGCACACCTGGACTTATGAAATGTTGTTGTTCACATGGAGAGCCAGCCTGCCTCCTGGATATGTGGGTCACATCAACATCTCCCTGGCCCCCTAGCCCCCCGCTGAAGAATGCACAGTGAGACCTCCAAGTCTGGAGGGCCAGACTGGACTTTCATAGCTGTCCTGGGACTCAGACCTAAGTTAGGAAAAGTCAGACTTGCACCCAAGCATGCTGGTCCCCAGGGTTTCATCTGGGCCTCGCCTGCTTCTGTTTTGTCACACACATGTGCATCTCTGCTTTTTCTCTAACCTCATTTTTCCCTGTCATATGGTCCTTATTCAAGCACCTCACATCGCTGCCAGTGTGGGGGCCATCGTCGCACATGGGTGAGACTGATAGGCAGTCACCTGGGAGACTTGGCAAGAAAAGGATTCCACTCCATGTCCTCAGATCTGAGGAGTGTTGATTGTTAGCTGATAGCTGCAAAAACCAGCTCATTATGGAAATTTGTTTTGGTTTTATTTCATCTGCCAACCTTCAAGCTTTTTACTGTTGTTTGCTCAGAACATTTAAGACATGCATACGTGACTCTAGCATTGTAGAAGGGGTAAGGATTTTGTTTTCTAATCAGAAATCTGATTCTTTTAAAAATTGCCACTTGAAAAAATTGTGTTACTCTCCTAAGAGCCTATTCTGAATTTTACCAAAATTATAGATTGGAAAGGACTTTGTGTTCTCATGTAATTTTTGTTTTAGTTACGGTGTTAAACTTGGAGAAGCAAACATGGGCTGTGGTCCATACCTTGGTTGTCTGTTAACCCTTTTGGGATCAGGCACCACCTAGCAATGTTAAATCTACTTAGGAACTGTATGTGGTATTATTGTCCAATGACTTTTCCCCACATGTGGGTTAGTCCAACATAATTTAAAATCAGCAGGTCTTGACATTGTTTGTGAAAGTATTCTCTTTATTAAAAAAGGTTTCCTGCTGTTTGTAAACTCTTGACTGCTACTCCATGGGTAGTTGCACAGTTATTTAAAATTAGACTGATATTTAATGCAGACTCTCAAGCTCCATGGTAACAGTTCATATTAATATGCGGTGTCATGAGCCTGGGGTCATAGTGTACTCATGTTGTGTGGGTAGTGAGATTGGCACAGTTAGAAGAGCAAGGAAATTCCAGAGTCTTTCATTGGTAGGCTGCAGTCTATTCAATATGATGCTTCTGACTTTTCCAGACCTTTTTTTAGAAATTAGACTGACAGTAGAGCAGAAACTCTGGTCTAGACTGTTTAAGAATTAGGTTTTGTGGTTTTTATTTTTTATTTTTTATTTTTTTTGAGTTGGAGTCTTCACTCTGTCACCCAGACTGGAGTGCAGTGGCCGTTCCCGGCCACTGCAGCCTCGACCTGCTGGGCTCCGGCGATCCTTCCGCCTCAGCCTTCCAAGTAGCCGGAATTACAGGCATGCACTACCATGCCCGGCTGATTTTTTATTTATTGTAGAGATGAGGTCTTGCCAAGTTGCCCAGGTGGGTCTTGAACCCGCAGGCTCAGGCAATCCACTCACCTCAGCCTCCCAAGGCACAGGATTACAGGCTGAGCCACCGAGCCCAGTGTGTTTTTTAATTTGTTTAAAAAATGTAAGTTTACCTTTTGAAGATCTGAAGATTATTTCATAGTAAATATCAAGAAGAAGCCATAGCAATGCATCTGATTAAATTGGCTCGTGTGCCTTTACTCTAGAATAGCTTTATGTTAAGCCACTGCTTACAAAGAAAAGAGGCAGACACACCTGCTGGTACACACTGTGTGCCAAACAGTCTTCCAGGATTGTGTGCACAGCATGAATAGGGTGAAGCCTAATAATATTAAGTTGTATATATGCTTCCTGGTAGTGAATTTTACAATACAGTTGTGATTAAAAAATAAAGCAGGATCGGGGGAGGATATGGAGAGACAGAGGGGGTGTGATCAAGTAGTGGGGATTGAGACTGCTTCACTGGGGAGGCAGTGTTTGCCTGGAGGTAGAGTCCCTGTCCTCCCCCCACCTACCCACCGCTGGGCTGCCCACAGCACTGCCTTGCCTGCAGTTTGGACAGAAGAAGGTCAAGATTTTTTGACCTCTGTCTTGCTGCCCAGGCGGGTCTCGAACCCGCGGGCTCGGGCAATCCACTCACCTCAGCCTCCCAAAGGCGCGGGATTACAGGCTAAGCCTCCGAGCCCGGCAAGATTTCAAGTTTAAACATGTAGAAGATAGAAGAAGACACAAAGTTCGAGGTGGCGGGATTCCTTGTCCTATACTGACTTGGCAAAGGTGCCTCCACCCTGGCAGTTTCTACAGTGAATTCACAAATGAGCCTTTGTCTGGTCCTGCCCCCATGACCAGGCATCTGCTTTTCAAAGCCAGTTGCTCTTCCCTGTCAAGTTGCATGTGGCTGTGTGGGGCCGCGTTTTGCCTCTTAAGGTGGGACGTTGAACCCACTGACACTGCCTGTCCAGGTGACATGAGAGGCTGAGACAGCTGCCTCCTTCCTTCTCCTGTGGCCTCGTGGAAAGGGCAGAAGGCTCATGGGCAACTTTTGAAATGTTGAAAAGATTAGCAGCATTGACTAAGTGGCTGCTCCCCTCGTGGTGTGCTTCTCAAGAGCCCTCTGCCGGCCTCCTTGGGGCTGGATGGGCCTTGAGATTGGTCTCAGTGGGGGAGTTCCTGGAAGTTCCTGTTGCTGGCACCCCAGGGACTTTATTAAAGGGCTCTTTGCCCTTCTCCCTTTCCCCTACTCTTTTCGTAGGGTCTTGGATGGATTCATTTTCCTTGAACTTCTCTTGTGCCTGGTATCCATTTTTAGGATGCCAGTTCTCTGCCAGTTTAGAAAACCTGCCCCAGGTCCTGTCATGTGGCTTTGCATTATGAGGCACAGGTTAGGATCTTGGATTTAGAAATCTTTAAATGAGTTTTTATTTTTAACTTGAGGTCAGAAATTGTCTTCCTTCAAAGACAGTGGGAGAAATTTCCTCCTTCCCTCATTTCCTCCCTTTGCCCCAATAAGTAGCAGACTCCCTGAATTCTTAACTGTTTTCCAATTGTCACTTGAAGGGAGAGAGGGTACTGTCATGTTACCATGTCATGTGCAGTTACCAACCCATGAATTTTGTTACCGATTTTCTTCTAAAGGGGAGGCAGGCTAATTGGCATTTGCAAATGCACCTGAGTCACAGGACCTGTTTGGCAGTATGCCTCTGAAGCCTAAGGCAACATTGTTTCCTCTTGTGAAATAAGAGACAGGTGCTAATAAAAATTCCAGGGAAACCCCAGAGTGTGTAAAGCCCCAAGGAGAGCCCTATCCAGGAAATTCATGGGCTCTCAGGGCTTGGTATGCCCTCTCACCCCAGGATGAAAAGAATGAGAAGCTAAATAGAGTCTTGGGAACATTGATTAGCTTGCTCAGGGTGCTCCTCCAAGTCTAGAAGTCACTGTGGGATGTGGTGCCGTGTTTCTTGTTTCACCCTTTCCCTGTTCCAAATGATCAGGATCTGGATGCTGAGGGCCCTGAGGTTAAAAGGAAGCAGACAGAGGCATTTTTTATTTTATTTTATTTATTTATTTATTTGAGTTGGAGTCTCACTCTCTTGCCCAGGCTGGAGTGCAGTGGCCGCTCCCAGCCACCGCAGCCTCGACCTGCTGGGCTCTGGTGAT